GGGCACGGTCGTCTACTTTGCGCCGCTCAACCAGCACAATGTGGGCGTGCTCGACACGGCCACGTCGACCTTCTCCACGATCGCGACCACCGGCGACGCGGCGAGCGGGAGCTACAAGTACTGGGGCGCGGCGGCGGTGGGCACGGTCGTCTACTTTGCGCCGTTCAAACAGAACAATGTGGGGGTGCTCGACACGGCCACCTCGACCTTCTCGACGATCGCGACCACCGGCGACGCGGCGTACGGGAGCGACAAGTACCGCGGCGCGGCGGCGGTGGGCAGATTCGTCTACTTTGGGCCGTGGACCCAGAACAATGTGGGCGTGCTCGACACGGCCACCTTCTCCCCGCCGCCCCTTTCTCCTCCTCCCCCCTCGCCCCCCCCTCCATCTCCACCACCTCCGTCGCCGCCGCCGCCTTCCCCTCCGCCTTCGTCGCCCCCACCTCCTTCGCCGCCGCCTCCCTCGCCTCCGCCTCCGTCGCCGCCGCCGCCTTCTTCCCCACCTCCGTCGCCGCCGCCGCCGTCCGGCTCGCCGTCGGACGATGACGGTGCGACCAACCCCCTCGCTCCCAACGCCTCGCGGCATCCCTTGCCTCACACTGCAGCACCCTCGCTCACCTCAGACGCACTGCCGACCTCTCTCCCCCCGACGCCACAGATGAAGACGAGGATGACGACGACGACGACGACGAGCCATCGGACGATGACGGTGCGACCAACCCCCTCGCTCCCAACGCCTCGCGGCATCCCTTGCCTCACACTGCAGCACCCTCGCTCACCTCAGACGCACTGCCGACCTCTCTCCCCCCGACGCCACAGATGAAGACGAGGATGACGACGACGACGACGACGAGCCATCGGACGATGACGGTGCGACCAACCCCCTCGCTCCCAACGCCTCGCGGCATCCCTTGCCTCACACTGCAGCACCCTCGCTCACCTCAGACGCACTGCCGACCTCTCTCCCCCCCGACGCCACAGATGAAGACGAGGATGACGACGACGACGACGACGAGCCATCGGACGATGACGGTGCGACCAACCCCCTCGCTCCCAACGCCTCGCGGCATCCCTTGCCTCACACTGCAGCACCCTCGCTCACCTCAGACGCACTGCCGACCTCTCTCCCCCCCGACGCGGATGACGACGACGACGACGACGACGACATGGGGGGCGATGACGAGGACGCAAAGTTCACCGCCGCGTAAATACGCGGTGACAAGCAAGAAGCGCAAGGGCGCTCTGCAAACCGCTAGTGCAACGCGACCACGCCAGCAAGGCGCGCATGTAATTTGCAGATCGAGTCCACGATCGAGTCCATGTAAGGCGGGGAATGTGCAGATCGAGTCCATCCGGACGTGCTTCGAGCTCCTCGTACCCCCTGTATCGTAGATCGATGTAGTCTTTGTTAGTATCGAGGTGTCGTGAGTTTTGGTCCTGAGATCGCCCGGAGAGGGTACCCCCACTATCGTAGTCTTTGTTAGTATCGAGGTCTCGTGAGTTTTGGCACTGAATCTCGCCGGAGCGCGAAGGCCAACCGCAAATTTGCACAAACTCCGAGACAAAGCCCCTTCGAACGCGCGAAAGCGCCGGCTTTCGAAACTCGGCGCCCGCCCTCTTTCTGGCCGCGTCCCTCTCCCCTGTCCTCTCGACTGCATTCCTCTTTTACATACATAAACACAACAACTTTTATGTCCCACCATGCAGAGCGCATCTCTCTCTCTGTTGTGCGAGGCGTGAACCGCGCATATATGGGCTAGTGCCATTTCACTGTGGCACAGCTCGCGTTACAAAACAACCTTGATTTGACCATTTGCGCCATTTTGTCCCTCTCGGTGCCTTCCAGAGGCAGCTGCAACCCCGCCAAGTGGACGGGGGCACTCGGCAGGTGGCGCGGAGTGCCCCCGTCCACTCGGCGGGGTCGCAGCTGCCTCTGTGCGTCCTGGGGAGGGACAAAATTGTCGCCGCCGGAGACGACTCGACGCCGCTGAGATTGGAGATCAAGCTCTGACAGGTCGCACGTCGCTCCTTTGACGCCGACGTGACTCACCCGTGCAGATCACATCAGGACACGGTCTCGACGCGCTCGGTACGACGCCTGCGACCCGTCTCGGGTCAGGTGGCACGACGCTCATCGCGCCTACCAGCGCTGCCGTACAGGCTGCCACGACGAGGTCGAGCACGCTTCTATACGCTCGCCGAGCCTTCCTTTCCATCCAATTAGGCAGCCTGGGAACGGTGGCGGTCAGAGGCAAAGCCTACGAGGGGTGGTGGAACCACATGTCACGGCTACTGCCGGCTCGACCCCACGATAGCCTCCGAAGGCTGACTTTGCGGCACCATCATCGGACGATGTCGACGAGTTGGGTCGCTCTCGCGGTAGCCAGATGACCTCTCTTTCTAGGAGCATCGGCCATGGCCGCAGGGAGCGCGGGGGAGGGCGCTGGAAGCAACACGGAGCTCCGTTGGAGACGTTTTCAAGATTAGCGTGTCAGAGTGAAATGGCACTAGCCCATTCGCTCTCACCTGGCAACCCTGTCTGCACGTCTCGCGCGCGCGTGAACAGGGCTCCAGGCCCCAAATGACGTGTGGGTGTTAGAGTTGTTTGGTATTGCTAAAAATCTCTCTCTCTCTCTCTCTCATACATAAATACAACGGACATCCCAAGCTAGGGCTGGGTCGAGGACAGACACGTCCCCACCTTTGCAGGATTTTGCAAAAGCGAGGGGGGAGGGCGCATCGCCGCGCGGAGAGGGCTGGGCACAGGGCACAGGGGATCTCTCTCACATAGGATATGCACTCGGCGGCACGAGGGCAAGGCTGGGCGTCCTATGTTTGTGCTCCCCCCCGGACCCCTCGCTCTCGGGCACTATCCATCTGACCACTCATCGACGGGGCTTGGCGAGCGGCCGCGCTGCGGGGCAGGGCTGGTGAGAATGGGCTCTGGCCACTCGCCCGTGCGGTTGTAACCGCGCATCAGCCGAACGGAGCTCGGAGGCCTCGATCGACCGCCCCTCGAGCAGCTCGCCCGCCGCCTCGAACTGCTCCCTCATGCCGAGCGCGCCGCAGACCTTGCGTACAGCCTCTTGCTGCACCTCGTCCAGTAAATCGGAACAGGTCTAGCGGCGCACGTTGGACTTTAAAATTCTTTTTCTCGCGATGTCCACCTTGTTGCGCCGCTCGCGCCGCCTCGCCGCCTCCACCAACGCCGCCCCCTCGCCGAACACGCCGCCGCCCACCCGCCTCCTCGACCTCCCCACGGAGCTCCTCGCGCGCACTCTCTCACACTGCCACAGCCCCCTCGACATCGCTCGCGTCGCGGCCGTCTCGCTGCTCTTCCACGCCTCGCTTGCGGTGGAGGGCATCCGCTTGCGGGCGCAAGAGCGCGGCTACGAGCTTCCGGCGCCGCCAGAGGGCGAGGGCTGTGCCGTGCGATGGCTGTGCTTTGCGGCGCTGCTGCGCGAGTCCAGCCCGCCGGCGAGGGTGGCGGCAGGCATTTCGCACAGCGCCTTCATCGACGGCGAGGGGCGGCTCTCGTCGTGCGGCTCGGCGACGGATGACAACCAAGGGCCGCTCGGGCACGGTGAGGGGGTGACGCGGCTCAACACGCCGACGCGCCTCCCCTCGGCGCTGGGCGGCGAGCGTGCCGTGAGCGTGGTGGCTGGATATGCGCACAGCCTCGCCCTCACCGCCGGCGGCAGCGTCTGGGGCTGGGGCTGGGGAGCCTTTGGCCAGCTGGGACACGGCGACACGCAGAACCAGTGGCTGCCCAAGAAGATCGAGGCCTTTGCTGATCGGCGCGTCGTCGCCGTGTCGGCAGGGCCTATGCACAGCTTTGCCCTCACCGCCGACGGAGCCGTCTTGAGCTGGGGCTGGGGAAGGTTTGGCAAGCTGGGCCAAGGCGACGAGCAGAACCAGCCGCTCCCCAAGAAGGTCGAGGCCTTTGCTGGCCAGCGCGTCGTCGCTGTGTCGGCTGGGGCCTGCCATAGCATCGCTGTCACCGCCGATGGCGCCGTCTGGAGCTGGGGCATTGGAGCCTATGGCCAGCTGGGCCACGGCGTTCAGCAGAACCAGCTGCTGCCGAAGAAGATCGAGGCTCTGGCTGGCCAGCGCGTCCTCACTGTGGCGGCTGGAGGCGCGCAAAACCTCGCCCTCACCGCCGACGGCGCCGTCTGGAGCTGGGGCGATGGAAGCTTTGGCCAGCTTGGCCACGGCGACGAGCAGAACCAGCTGCTGCCGAAGAAGATCGAGGCTTTGGCTGAGCAGCGCGTCGTCGCTGTGTCGGCGGGATGCGGGCACAGCCTCGCAATCACCGCCGACGGCGCCGCTTGGAGCTGGGGCTATGGAGGTTATGGCCAGCTGGGCCACGGCGACCAGCAGAACCAGTTGCTGCCCAAGCAGGTCGAGGCCTTTGCTGGCCAGCGCGTCGCCGCGGTGACCGCTGGGAGCGAGCTTAGCCTTGCGCTTACCGCCGACGGCGCTGTCTGGAGCTGGGGTGTGGGCGGGGGCGGCCAAGTCGGCGTTGCAGGCCGCCTAGGCCACGGAGAGGACCTGTCGAACCAGCTGCTGCCCAAGAAGATCGAGGTGTGGGCGAGCCGGCCGAGCACGCCTACTTCCTCTGACGGAGAGGACAGCAGCGGCGGAGAGGACATGTAGCGACGCGGCGGCCAGGCCACGGAGGGACCTGTCCGACCTGCGACCAGCTACGTGCAGGAGGACCATTGCGCCGACCAGCTACTGCCCAAGAAGAGCGCGCCCGGCGGCAGGAACGAGGAAGGCGCCTCGTCTGACGCCTCTCGTCAACGCGCATGTGCACGGTGCTCTATCTGCCTATTAGTACCACGACAGTTTGTTCGGAGGAGTCTGTTTTGTGTCGACACTAGACACAGTGAAAGTGTGTGCGCTATTGGTCCGATGGTCCCACCTCCGCGTAATAAATCGGCCCGCAACGCCCATGCGCATGCCGTAATCTGATCCGAGTGTCGTCACAAAACGCATTTAATCCATCGTCCGCTCTCGAGAGTGTCGAGTTGCGAGAGGCGCTAGGAAGATACGGTGTACAGCAGACGGTGTAAATATATACATATACGTGAACGCGCGGGAAGCGCGCGGCGGAGAGAGCGACTATATAGGAGAGACCCCGGCCTCCGTGCTGCACCCGCCCGCGGCGGGGGTCGTGAGAGAAGTGACAGTGGCGGCTCGGCTGAACTCGCTCCTGAAGCTAGTTCGGGCACAGCTCTCCCGCGGCCTCCACCTCCCGCTGCGCGGCGAGCCTCTTGGCCAGATACCTCTCCTCCTCGTCTCCGATGAAGAGCAGTGGCGCCAGCCCGAGCACGCAGCCGATCGAGATGCCGATGAGCTGCCCGACGGTGGTCGCGCGTTTCGAGGGCGGCTGCACGAGCTGGTGAGGCGAGAGGTGGTGCTCGGGCAGGCCTAGCCGCCCGGACAGCCGCTCCACGGTTGCACCTGCCTGCAGGCCGACGACGTCCGAGCAGAGGTTTCCGAGCCCTGCGGAAGAGAGGGGGGGGGGCTAGATGAGCCGGTGCACATGCAGACGTAGACGTGTGCGTGTGCGTGCGTGCGTGCGTGTGCGTCTCTCTGTCTCTCCCTCTCCCTGTGTGTGTGTGTGTGTGTGTGTGTGTGTGGCGAGCGCGAAAGCCTGCAGCGGCCATCGCCGAGAGCCCCAGCGCCGCTCCAAACGCGGCCTCGATCTGGTCGCCGGCCACGAGCATGATGAAGTTGTCGAGGAAGCCTGATCAACCGCATATGTGAAAAGTCTCTCGCCGTTTTTGCGTCTGGCACGCGGCGCGGCCGAGCGAGCCGAACGCGACAAAGGGGATTGCGGCGCCCAAGCCGAGCTTTCGAAGCTGGGCGGTGGTTGGCGGCTCGGCCGCATCATCGCGCGCCGCCGCGGCCGACGGCGATGCCGCGTGCCACTCGAGGCGCGCCTCCGTCGCGCCCTCTGGCGCTGCCGCTCGCTCAGTCCACACAACTCGCTGACCGGACCCGTCTGCCACGGCAGCATCGACTCGCCGCAGCTTGTAGATGAGGTCGGGGTCGGAGAGGGAATGGCCGTGCCGCCGGAGCGAACGCGTGTACCACGAATGGAATTCGGCGGACGATAGTTTGCCGTCCGAGTCGAGGTCGGCGCTCGCAAAGGCGTCGATGACTTTGAGCAGCTCGTCTCCCGTAGTCGTCCGCAGGCTGTGCGTGCAGATCAGGTGTGAGCGTGGCGGTCAGCCAGCAGAGCAAGAATAGGCCAGGGCAGGTGGAGTGGGAGCGAGGAGCCTGGTTGCAAGGACTCGGCGCCGCAGCTCAGAGCCTCCTTCGGAGAGCACCCGATCCAGCAGGTGCGGGTCCGAGCGAAGGGCGTTGGCGATGCCGTCGGCTCCGGTGTGGCTGTCGGCGAGCGTGCTGCATGCGCGTGACAGCCGGCGAGCTTTGAGGACTGCGCGCGCAGCTGGTCTCGTCAGGTTGTTGCTCATGGTGCGTGGGGGGGGGCCGCGCGCGGGGGACCCGGGGGGGACACCACCGCAGTACGATCGATTGAGTCGTATGATTGATTGTAAGGGCGTAGGGACCCGTTTCATAACATCGAAGGCTAGCTCAAAAAGAAAATGGGGTGGAAGCATGATAAAATATCCCAACGCAACTTCTTTTAGTCCCCGGTCCTGCGGGTCCGTGCGGTTGCTGACTGCACTCCAAGTGCTCCAACTGCAACCGCCTTGCCCCTACGACCAACTCCCTCGGGGCGCGGCTCTCAATTCATTCCACAGCTTTAAGAGAGAGAGAGAGAGAGAGAGAGAGAGAGAGGGGGGGGGAGGGAGGGAGGGAGGGAGGGAGGGAGGGAGGGAGGGAGGGAGGGAGGGAGGGAGGGAGGGAGGGAGGGAGGGAGGGAGGGAGGGAGGGAGGGAGGGAGAGAGAGAGAGAGAGAGAGAGAGAGAGAGAGAGAGAGAGAGCTCTGAGCAGTGGCAGCAGATGACTCAGCCCGCAGCGGGCCGCAGCATCGCGGTGCTCAAGAGCCGCACGCCCGGTGAGACGTCGCGCGAGCTGTGCGAGTCGAGTCGTTGGTGCGGTCGCACAGCTCGGCTCGCGGCTCGATGAGACGCTGTTTCTGCTGCACAGGCCCTCGTTCCCCCTATCACGCTGGAGGGATGGCACAGAGCTCAGCGCCGGGGGGAGAACCGTCAAATTGGACTTTAGGAGTTGAACCGTCAGCCCACGTATAGGGGGTTGTTCATCGGCCGTCTTCGACAATAGGCAGGCTCGCGCGACCGTCCCGGCCGGGCAGGAGCCTGCTCCAGCGGCTGGCTGTGCCAGTCGCGGCTGCCAGCGCCACATCTCTCAGGTACGCTACCACCTAAGAAATCGGAGGGCTGGCTTTAGTCAGCTCACGCATGACAGCGCCGTGGTGGCGATCAAGATTCGGCGCGACCGGCACAGCATCGCGGGATATGCAGTTTCTTAGCGGACACAAAGGGCCGAGGGCGAGAGGGCGAGAGGGCGAGGGGAAGAGAGGGAGGGAGAGAGGGACGAGTACCGGGCATCGGCACCTCGCGCGATGGCAACGGCAGAGGCGCCTCGCCCTCTGGCTGCATGCGCCGTGCGCGGTGGAAGAGGGCAGCCACAGCCGCATCCGTCGCGGGCGGCGGCGGCGGTGGTTCGCCGAAGACGGTCGCGTAAATTACGGCGGCACAAAGGTAGGAACCGGTGGGCGAGAGGTGGAAGTCATCCGTGTGAAAGAGGCGCCTGTGAGCAGGGCGAGACGAGGACTTTGCAGCGAGAGGGATGGTCGGATGGGGATTCGCTACACTGCAGAGACCGAGGCGGAACGCGACGCCCGCCTTGACCGGGCCGGCCCGCCTCAGAGTGCTTGGGGCGCGGTGGGGCGCACACCTCCAGAGCTCAGGCCTCTCGTCGTGCACAGCCTTCATCGCGGCGCCTGAGGCGTAGAATGGAGAAACGAATGGAACAGAGGCAAGCGAAGCGAGACGCCGACAGCTGCCAACGGCGCCCAGGGGCGCGACGCGCGGCTTGTGCTCTGGCGGTAGCGCGGCGCGCAGGGCGTTGGCGCACACGGCGGTGCCCTCCTGCAGGCGCTGCGTGAATTCGGCGTTGTCTCCAAGATCATGACTCCCCTTCTGGTGGGAGCGGTAGGCATGCGTGCAGAGCAGCGCCGGTGTCGCGCCCGCCCTTATAAGCAGAGGCGCGTACCCGTCCACGAGCGTCACCACGCTTTCAGCCAGCGACTCGGCCCGCGCCGGCGCCTGCCCAAACGGAACGCTCTGTCAGGGACTCGCATCGGCTGCAGGCAAGGCTGGTGGTGGTGGCTCAGTCAAGATGCCCCCGCGCCACCTTTGCCGGGGCCGCTGAGCCTGGCGGCGCGCCTCGCGCTGCTGCCAGCGTCGCATGTGCTCCCGGGATGTGTGGGAGCCGCATTGGGTTGATGGTTGGGAAGGCTCCCGCCGCAAGTGTGGGCGACGTTTGGCGGGAGGATGTCGGCCTGCGTGTAGTCATTCATGACGACAGTGTCCCACGGCGCCGCCAGAAGGGTGGCAACGCTGTCGGCGCCAATGTCGTGGCTCCCGTCGGCACGCAGCGCGTTGGGCGTGCCAAACTTATTGCGCATCCCGTTCCCCTTGCGTAGCAGTGTCCCATACGACGCGCCTCCGCGGAAGCAGCAGTCGTGCACCAGCGTGCGGCCGGCGGCGTGGCAGAGGGCCTGTGGTGAAGCAGTCCCGAAGAGTCAGGACGGACGGCATCCGGCTTTCGAGTGGCCCGGTGTCCAGAGCGCCTCCACGAGCCGAGGCACATCATTGAAGTAGAGGATGGAGTTGCCGACGAAAGCCACTCGAGCGCTCGACCGTCGCGGGCGCAGCCGCAGCCGCGCTATCACCACGCAGGTGACGGCTGCGACGGTCGCGAGCGCACCTAATCGCCACTCCATCCGACGACCGCACTCACTCGTACGTCCCAGATGTTCGCTCGAGGGCCACGGCATGTTGTGGGTCATCTTCTCTGTGTGCACTTGGAGACTTTAGTGTGTGCTTGTTGGGGACTCTCTCTACTCTGTCTGTGCAGTTCTAATCTGCCAAGCCCAGTGTCGTGCGAGGGAGCTTATAAAATTCTAAGCTGGCCCATTCACATACGCACAACCCCGGGCCAGAAATCGATCATTCACAGGTCATGGTAGCCAGACGGAGAGCGATGTAGCGATGGCGTGGACCGAGCACACCTCGAGCTCTGGCCGCCCCTTCTTCTACAACCCGGCTACCGGCGCCTCGGTGTGGGAGCGTCCGGCGGGAATTTCCGAAGCGCGAGTGTTCTCGCGAGACACTCCGCCGACGCTGCGCGCCTGCATGGCCACGGACCGGCGCGTGCGGGCACTGGCTGGTGCGATCGTCCGCCGGTGTGGCGTCGATGCGCTGCCGCGTGTGCAGGCGGCTGGCGCCGACACGTCTCTGTGCGCCGACGGCCGTGGAGGCGCCTTCTGCTGCGAGTCGAACCGCATTTTCCTGTGTGCGTCGACGGCGTGGGTCTCGTGCCGCGAGCTGGCGTACGAGCTGTCGCACGCCTACAACACGTGCACCCACGTCACGCGCTGCGCGCACGGTGGCATACAGGTGGATGACGCGTCTTGCGGCTACCTCTCTCCTCCCGATCTCGCCTGCTCCGAGCTGCGCGCGGCATATTGGACGGAGCGCTGTGCGGGCCGTGCAGAGAGGGACGAGGCGCGGTGCCTCAAATGGCACGCGGCGTGGGCGCTCCGCGCTTGCTATCCCTCGGATGAGCACCACCCAGCCCATGTGCGCCACGCTGTGCAAGAGTGCACACCCAGAGGCGCAGACGCCAACCTCACGCGAGGCGGCGGCGACGATGAACAGGAAGCGGTTGGGCGCCCAGGGGAGGCGACGGCGGCCGACGCAAAGCGAGTGTAGACGGCCTTGTTCCTTTTTCATGCGTGTTGGGCGTCTGTCGTCAACATACCGCCCACGACACATCCGACAGCTCTCTCCGCTGCCTGCAGCCTGGCTGATAGCCGTAACACGCCCGCGCCGCGGAACGCGGTTAGCATGGTGTGTGTGTGTGTGTGTGCAGCCCGGCACAGGAATATACACACAGCGCGTACTCAGTTACCACTCCTCCAGCTAGGGAGGCCCGAGATCGGGACGAAGTCTGCCTCCATTCGGCTCAACGCCAGCAGCGCCGCCTACAGGAGCGTCGAGACCCAACTGTTTGACTCTGGCAAGGGCGCGCGGTGTCGAGGATGGGCGGCAACGCCCCACCTCAACTGCGGCCTGCTCGCTGTGCTCGGACTCTGGGCCGAGCGCCTCCGGCCCGAGCTGCAGCCACGACCGCAGCTTGCCCTCGCCGTACCCACTGCCGTACCCGCCGCCTTTCGCCGTGGTGTGGAGCGAGGGAGCCGAGGAGCGGCGCGGCAGCGAAGCAGCCTTCGTAGGGAGCAGATGGGGCACGGCCTTAGTTCGGTATTGTAGTGGGTGGGTGTGGGACGGGGGGGGGAGTGGGGGGGAGAGGGGGGCGGGGCGGGGGGGGGGGGGGGCACCGATGAACGGGCCGAGAGCGCGGTGGCGACAGTCGAGCGGCGCGGTAGCGCGCCCCCTTCGCCCTTCGAGCCCGGCGCAGCGCGGGCAATGGCGGCGAGGGGCTCGATGCCGCCCGCCGCCGCCACGGCAGCCCTCCCCTCGTTGCAAATCGCGAGCGAAGCGAGTGCCGCCGCTGCCGCCGCCTTGGTCGCCGACGACGCCCCGCCGCGTGCAAGCCGTACCAAAGGCGGCGCGGCACCGGCGCGGCAGAGAGCGCCCCGCACCGTCTCATCGACAGCGAGGGCGCCAACGGCTCGGGCGGCGGCGGCGCGCGGCGCCTCCACGCCGCCCGAGCCGTGCAGCCCCGCCACCAACCCCGTGACGCCGCCCGCGGCGAAAATGGCGGCGCGCCCCGTGGCGTCGGCAGCGAAGGCGTGGAGGGCGTTTGCCGCGGCCTCGCGCGCCGGCTCGGACGGCGCCTTGCGGGGCCGGAAGCGTCAGCACCCAGAGCTGTGGGGGTGGTGACTTGCATCTCTGCCAAATCCCGGCTGCATCTCGGCCAAATCCCGGCTGCATCTCGGCCAAATCCCGGCTGCATCTCTCCCAACTCCCGGCTGCATCTCTCCCAACTCCCGGCTGCATCTCTCCCAAATCCCGGCTGCATCTCTCCCAAATCCCGGCTGCATCTCTCCCAAATCGGGGCTGCGTCCCGGCTGCGTCTCGGCTAAGCGTCGCCTGCACCAGCCGCGCGAGGGGAGGGATCGCGGCAGAGAGCGGCTGCAGCGGGCTCTCGGCCTCAGACTCGGACTCTCGAGGCGCGGAGTCGGCGGCGGCGGCGGTCGCGGCGATGGCGAGGTTCCGGATCCCGCGCGCCGCTGCTTCCGCCGCCGCCGCACTGCTCCCCTCGAGCAGTCGCATCAGCGCGGCGGTCCCGCCAGCTTCGGTGACGGCCGCGGCGAGGGCAGGCTCCACCGTCAGGTTGGTCAGGGCCGCGGCCGCGACGAGCCGCGCGCGCGCGGAGCCCGCGCCGGCAATGGCGATGAGGGGCGGCAGGGCGCCGCAAGCAGAGAGCTCAGACCGCGCCTCGGGCAAAAGCGCCAATCGCGCTAGAATCGTCACCGCCGCCTCGGCCGTCACCGCCGCTATCGCCGCATCGCTCTCGCTGCCCGAAGCCGTCGGCGAGGAGGCGGCAGCCACGCACCCCGACGCCACACCAGGAGCGGCAGCGGCGGAGCACGCCTCTGGCAAACGGGGCGCCGTGGCGGCGCGGTCGACCGACGGCGACGGCGCCGACGCTTCGGAGCAGCGCCAGTCCTCTCCCCCCTCTCCCCCCTCGTCTCCCTCTGCCTCTGCCGCCTCTGCCGCCTCTCTCCGCTCGCCAGCCCCTTCCCCTCCTCCCGCGCCCGGCGCAGCATCCGCAGAAGAGGAGCTCGACGACCCGGTCGAGGCCGCGTCCGAGGCGTGGGTGGACGAGAGGTACGCTGTCACCGGCGCGTACGCGCAAGGGAGCGAGGAGACGAGCGCCACGAGCCTGTCCCGAGGCGGCCGGTCGGGGTGAGAGCCAACGCGGCGGCAAAGGGAGAGGGGCGACGTGGCGGCACGGATGGTGGAGTGGGTGGTGGGGAGGGGGGTGGGGTCGGGCGGGTGGGGGTGGGGTGGGGTCGGTGGCGTCGCAAGGCGCAAGGAATTCCGGAAGCGGGTGGTGGGGGTGGGGTGGGGTGGGGTGGAGGTGGGTGGGGTGGGGGTGGGCACCTCGCGACGCCGCCCGCCCGCAACAGCGCCCGGCGGCCGCTCTCGTGCAGCGACAAGTTTGCGAGCACCGCCGACGCCGCCTCGGCCTCCTCCGCGCGCCTCGAGCCGACGAGGCCGACGAGCAGTGGCACTCCCCCGCCGGCGACGATGGCGGCGGCGATGTCGAGGTGTACCGAGAGGTTGGCGAGCCCCCTCGCGGCGTGCGTCGCCGTCGCGCTGCTGCGGGCGCCGCATCGCCCCTCCGCGGCGAGAAGCGCGAGCAGCGCCTGCGCGCCTCCGGCCGCGGCGACCGCTACCTTCAGGTCGGCGGCGAGGGAGAGGCGGGAGAGCGCGGCGGCGGCGGCGGCGGTGATGCGGTCTGCGGCGCACTTGGAGGTGGCAGGGGCCGTCGCTCCGTCGCGCACGGAGGGGGAGAGGAGCCCCGGTCCCGGTCCCCACCCCGCGCTGCTGCCGCTGTTCCGGCCCGGCGGTGGCAGCCCGGCGCCACCAGGCCCGCACGGTGCGGCGGGGTCGGCGGCCCTGCAGAGCGCGACGAGAGGGCCGACCGCGCCGGCGCGCGCAGCTGCGGCGCGGCCTTCCGGCGACCCCGCCAGGTTGGCGACCGCGGCCGCGGCCGCCTCGCGCGCCTCCTCCGAGGCGGGAAGCGGCTCCCGGCTCCCGAGCGGGCCGCCACCGCCTCGAGGTGCTCGCAGGAGCGCGACGAGACGCGGCATCGCCTCGGCGGAGAGGAGCGCATGCTGCCCGGCGGGCCCGAACGACAGGTACCGCGCCGCCTGCGCGGACGCCTCGCGTGCCTCGGGCGGAGCGAATACTGAGAGCGCCGCCGCCAGTGCGTGCGCGCCCCCCACCGCTGCAATCTCATCGCGCCGCATCGAGTCGGCATGATCGTCCAGCAGCGCACCGGCGCGGTCGGCGGCGGCCCACCCACCATGCGCGTCGATCGCCGCCTGATTCTGCGGCGCGCACGCCAGGTCGCGTAATGCAGCCGCCGCCGCGACGACAGTCCGGCGGTCGAGCTGGTCGCAGGCTACACCGAGAGCGTGCACCCGCAACTCCACGTCGGACGGACCGCCCCGCCCGTTCTCGCTGTCCAGGCCTTCGTACCAGAGCTCCTCCTCCTCCGCCGACGGCAGGCAGCGTGAGAGCAGCGCACAGATGCCGCTCATTGAGAGAGAAGCGCCCCGGCCGTGCGGATGCAAAAGGGGGGCTTCGAAAATGACCCATGGCGTGCAACCCTCTCAGCACTGTAGCACGAGCACTGGATAGGGTCGATTCCGCATGGTACGGGACCCCATGAACACCCCTGTGCATGCCGTCCGCCATATGGGCTGCCCCTGTCAGCAGAGCAGAGTGGCCTGTAGGTTCGCGCGTGTCGTCGTCTTCTGTCTCGCGTCCACCCATACCGAGAGAGAGATTTTTAGCAATACCAAACAACTCTAACACTCACACGTCATTTGGGGCCTGGAGCCCTGTTCACGCGCGCGCGAGACGTGCAGACAGGAGGGTTGCCAGGTGAGAGCGAATGGCGCGGTTCACGCCTCGCACAACAGAGAGAGAGATGCGCTCTGTGCAACAAATATTGCTAAAAATGTATGTTTGTCACTTTCATCTTAAAGAGCTCCGAACCCTCCACTGCCGCTGAACCTTCTTTTCTAGAGACTAGACGGCTAGGATTGAGAGCAGCCTCGCCCTAGAAAGTCGAAGGATTGTGAGCACCGAGAGAGAGAGAGAATTCTTGATACGAAACCACGACGACACACACCAGTCGACTCGCATCGGTTGCCTCCATGAACGGCGGAGCTATTCTCGCGCCCACACCACACCTGGCTCCAACGTGGACACGCCCATAGCTGGGGACACTACTAGGTCACGCATGGCATCACAGAAGTTTTATCTCTGGGCCCCGAAAGGCATCTCTAGCAGTGTCGTTACACATGCCCCCTCCCCTCCTGGGCGCATGCGCCTCACGTCTCGCCAGAGCATAAGCCCTTGGCGTGTGGCGAGACGAGTTTTTCGCCATCGCAGCGAGCAGCAAGCCGCCCGCCGCAAACAGCCGGAGGCCTCGCCGCGGCACTGGCTGCGCCGCGGTCCCGCACCCGTCGACGCAGCTCTCTCTCTCTCTCTCTCTCTCTCTCTCTCTTGTGAGCACCCTGAGCAGCACTCCTCGCAATCGTAGCATCTCTATTGCGAGCCGGTCCCCTCGCAATCGGTGGGATCACTGACTCGATTCTACATGTACATGTACCTCGAATTCTTCCACCCCCACGACTCGGAACACGAATGTGACAGGACCATCGGGTCCTTCAGCCACCAAAGCGAGATCACAATAAACAGCTGAGCCTGCCTCTGGCCTCGCCTCCCTCTCCTTCAGGCATTCGTGGCATCCTATGCGCTATGGGTCGTCCAGAGTATCGACCTCTGTCTGGCTTGCCATCTCGCTGGCCTCTCCGCAGGGCCCCCCGACCGCGTCGAACCGATCGGCGCGGGCTCTCTCGGCTACGGGACCGGCCCCAGCTTCGGCTGAGGGCTAACAAGCTGCCGAGCCCAAATCACTGTGAGAGTCGTGATTTCTTGTTCGTTTTCTAAAATCTCTCTCTCACACGCACCGCACGACACCACACGCTCTGTGTGACACATTTCTTGTTGGCTTCTAAAAATCTCTCTCCACACGCCACCGCGCGCGCGCTCACACGCGTGCCGTCCTCCCTCCCTCCCTTCGGGTGTTTCTTTTCTTTCTTTCTTTCTTCAGCGATTAGAAAAAAGAATTTCGGACGGCCTACCCCGCGCCCACACCCCGTCCTCCCATCCCTCGCCTGGCTGGGCAAGTTTCTGTCCGCGGGCGGTTTTCTTCCTCGCTGTACCTGCGTAGGGGCGCGCCTAAAATGTCAGAGTCAGTGTGTGGCACCTCGCCTGCCGACGCGCCGCTGCTTGGGCAGCGCGTCGTGCTCGGCGGGCTCTCTTCCCGCCCCGAGCTGAACGGGAAGCGGGGCGTGGCGCGGAGCTTCGAGGGCGGCCGCTACGCTGTGGCGCTCGAGGGAAGCGGCGAGAGCGTGCGGGTGCGGCCTGAGAGGTTGCGGCCAGTGGCGGCGGCGGAGCAGGCGTCGAGCGGTGACTCGGCAGCCCCCGATGCGGTCGTGGCAGCGGCTGCGCGAGGCGAGGAGGAGGCGGTGCTGGCATGGCTCGATGCCGGCGGGCGGGCCGACGCGATGTACGAGAGAGGCGGCGTGAGCGGCCTCACGCTGCTGATGGGCGCCGCCAACCACGGCCACGAGCGGGTGGTCGAGCAGCTGTTGCGGTACGGGGCGGACATCGACCTGCAGGACAGCGACGGCGACTCCGCGCTGATGGCTGCCGCCTACGGCGGTCAGGAGCTGGTGGTCGAGCTGCTGCTGCGGCACGGGGCGAAGGTCAACCTGCAGGACAGCGTCGGCAGCACCGCGCTTATTGACGCCGCCCTCAACGGCCACGAGCGGCTGGTCGAGCTGCTGCTGCAGCACGGGGCGGAGCTCAACCTGCAGAGCAGCGACGGCGACACCGCGCTGATGGCCGCCGCCTTCTTCAACCGCGCCGCCGTCGTGCGGCGCTTGCTGCGGGCGGGCGCAGACACGGCGGCGCGCAGTGCGAGCGGCATGACGGCGCTGCAGGTTGCCAAGGAGAAGGGCCACGCCGAGTGCGTCGAGGCCTTCCGGCAGCACGTCAAGGAGGCGGTGGTGGCGGGACGGCCCACTGCGGCGGCAGCCGGCTCTGAAGGCGCAGGCGGCGCTTCCTCCGGCGGCGCTTCCTCGGCTGGATCGAGAGTCACGAAGACGCTGTCTCCAGCGGTGGCGGCGGAGCAGGCGTCGAGCGGTGTCGCGGCAGCCCCCGACGCGGTCGTGGCAGCGGTTGAGCGAGGCGAGGAGGAGGCAGTGCTGGCGTGGCTTGACAGCGGCGGGCGGGCCGACGCGACGTACGAGTATGGCAAGTCGACTGGCCTCACGCTGCTGATGGGCGCCGCTGTCCACGGCCACGAGCGGGTGGTCGAGCTGCTGCTGCGGCACGGGGCGAAGGTCAACTTGCAGGACAGCGACGGCACCACCGCGCTGATGGCCGCCGCCCGCAGCGGCCACGAGCGGGTAGTCGACTTGCTGATACGGCGCGGCGCTGAGGTCAACTTGCAGACCAGCGTCGGCGGCACCGCGCTGATGATCGCCACCCTCCTCAACCGCCCCGCCGTCGTGCGGCGCTTGCTGCAGGCGGGCGCAGACGCGGCGGTGCGCACTGTTGGCGGCAAGACGGCGCTGCAGTATGCCAAGGAGAATGGCCACGCCGAGTGCGTCAAGGTCTTGGCTGAGGCGGCAATGGCAGACGGCCGGGCAGGGGCGGGCGGCGCTTCCTCGGGCGCGGCAGCGGCAGCTGTGGACGCGCCGCTGCTCGGCCAGCGAGTCGTGCTCGGCGGCCTCTCTTCCCGCCCCGAGCTGAACGGGCAGCGGGGCGTGGCTCAGAGCTTCGAGGGCGGGCGGTACGCTGTGGCGCTCGAGGGCGGCGGCGAGAGCGTGCGGGTGCGGCCGGGTAATCTGTCGCCGGCTGCGGCGGAGCGGGCGTCGAGCAGTGCCGCGGCAGCCCCCGATGCGGTCGTGGCAGCGGCTCATCGAGGCGATGAGGCGGCGGTGCTGGAGTGGCTCGAGGGTGGCGGGCGGGCCGACGAGACGTACGAGGTAGGCGAGGTGAGCGGCCTCACGCTGCTGATGGGTGCCGCCTTCTACGGCCACGAGCGGGTGGTCGAGCTGCTGCTCCGGCGCGGCGCTGAGATCAACCTGCAGGACAGCGACGGCGGCACCGCGCTGATGCACGCCGCCAACAGCGGCCACGAGCGGGTGGTGGAGTTGCTGATACGGCACGGCGCGGAGATCAACTTGCAGGACGACGACGGCTACACCGCGCTGATGTACGCCGCCCTCTTCAACCACCCCGCCGTCGTGCGGCGCTTGCTGCGGGCGGGCGCAGACACCGCGGCGCGCAGTGCGAACGGCAAGACGGCGCTTCAGTGGGCCGAGGAGGAAGGGCACACCGAGTGCGTGCGCGCCCTCGAGGATCACTCGTCGACCGGAGCAGAGGCGGAGGGGGAGACGGCGGTCGCAGCGTCAGCCGAGCAGGCCGCGGCGGCCGCACGCGAGGCGGCAGCGGCTGCGGAGGCGGCGGAGGCGCGTGATGCTGCCGAAGCGGCGCTGCGCGAGGCGGTTGAGGCGTGCGAGCGAGGCGACGCCGATCTCGAGGCGCTCAGGGCGGCGATCAACGCAAACACCACCCAGGCCGCCGACGGCTCGGAGGCGCTGCGGGCGGCGCGGCTGCTGCGCGACGAGCTGGCGGAGCGAAGGACCCGTGAGGCCAGGGCGCTGAAGCGGCAGCGGCAGAAGGATGAGAAGGCGGCGGCGAGGCAGGCGGCGGAGGAGGCGCGGGCGGCGGAGGAGGCGCGGGCGGCGGAGGAGGCGCGGGCGGCTGAGGCAGCTGCGGAGGCGCGGGCGGCGGAGGAGGCGGAGGCGGCGGCGCGGGCGGCGGAGGAGGCGGAGGCGAGGGCGAGGGAGGAGGCGGCAAGGGAGAGGGAGGAGGCGAGGATGAGGGCGGAGGCGGAGGTGGCGGCGGCGGAGGCAGCGGCGGAGGTGGCGGCGGCGGAGGCGGCGGCGGAGGCGGCGGCTGTAGAGGCGGCAGTAGCGGCCGTGGCGGCGGCGGAGGCTCAAGAGGCAGCGGAGGCGGAGGCGGCAGCGGAGGCAGCGGCAGCAGCGGCGGCAGCGGCGGCTTCGGCGAGTGTCGCCGCCCTCGCCGCCGCCGCCGCGCCGCCCGCCGCCGTCCCTCTCGACGAGCTCATCGCGGCGACCGACGCCTTTGCCGAGGCGCGCAAGGTGGGCGAGGGAGGCTTTGGGCGCGTCTACCGCTGCGACGCGCTGCCGTCGCTCCCGCGCGTCGCTTGCGGGTTCGCTGTCAAGACGGCGCTGGTCGGTGTGGGCGCGCAAGGCCTCGCCGAGCTGCAGAGCGAGGTGCGCACGCTCAGCGCGGCGTGCCACCCGTCCCTGCTCCCTCTGCTCGGCGTCTGCTTGGCACCGGCGAGAGCGTGCCTCGTCTACCCCCTCTGCCGCGGCGGCAGCCTCGAGGACCGCCTCTACCGCACGCCAGCCGCGCTGCAGCGGCTCCGCATGCTCGGCTTCGAGACGCTGCCTCCCACGCTCTCCGCCGCCGCACGGCTCTGCGTCCTGCGCGACGCGGCGAGAGCGCTGCATTACTTGCACACGCTCTCTCCGATGATCCTGCACCGCGACGTCTCGGCGGGCAACATCTTGCTCGACGAGCGCGGCAACGGCTACCTCGCCGACGTGGGCCTCGCGCGCGCAGCAGAGGCGACGGCCGGCAGCAATGGACAGGTCTCGCACTTGTCGACGCAACGCATCTTTGGCAAGCCCGGCTACATTGACCAGATCATTCTCAACGACAACCAGGCTTCGCAGCTCACTGACGGCTTCGCGCTCGGCATCACGCTGCTCGTCAGCCTGACCGGCCGCGGCGCCGTCGGCTTGCTCAACGCGTGCGACGATGCATTGGAGGAGCCCGACACGGCGGAGGGCATCGCGGCTGCCGACGCGGGCTGGTCGGCGGCGCAGGCCGAGGAGCTGGCGAGGCTCGTAGTCGGGTTGGCTCTCGTGCGGAAGAAGAGGCGGATGCCGCTCGCAGAGGCGCTGCCGCGGCTGGAGGCGCTGGCCGAGGCGGCGGAGGCTGAGATTCCGAGCCTTGCAGGGGCGGCGGCAGCCGAGGCGGACGGGGAGGCGCGCCAGTGCGACTTTTGCTGGTCTGCGCCGCGATCGATTCGCTTCGCGTGCGGCCACGCATTGTATTGCGAGACGTGTGCGCCGCGCGTGCTGGAGCGCGACACCAACTGCCCGGCCTGCCGCCAGCCGGCGCTGCCCATCGCCGCAATTGGGGCGCAGGTGGCGGAGCAGGCGACGTTTGTCTACCAGCCGCCCGCTCGCGCTGTGCCACACCCACCGCCCGCTGGTGGCGCGGCGGTGGTCGGCGGGCGGGGCGGGCGGGGCGGGCGGGGCGGGCGGGGCGGGCGGGGCGGGCGGGGCGGGCGGGGCGGGCGGGGGAGGTCGCGGGGCGAGGGGCGGGGCGCTGGCGGCTCGTAGCTCATAAGACATTACCGGTAGTTTGTGAATCGTTACTATGATCGTGTGAGAGCCGCTTTTGTTTCGGCGGCGCCAGCGTGTTTTTTCCTCGTCGAAATAAATACATGGGTAAAGCGAGGTGTGCGAACTCCCTCCTCGCGGCCGACATCTGCGTCTGCATCTGCATCTGCGCCGGTCCAGTGCCGGGGTCTGCATCTGCGTCTGCATCTGGCTCAGAGCCATATATAACTTCAAAGAAGAACCAAGCGCAGCAGCGACACAAGGGACAGGGCGAAGCTGTGTGGGCGACGGCGAGCTGCGTCAAAATCCGCTCTCAAACAGGACCTTTGCTGCGGCAAAGCAAAAAGCCTTTGCGCAAAGCCAAAGGTGTGCGGGCTACTGCGTACTGGGAATGTGGTTGCTGCGCTCTCCCCCCCCCGCGCGGGCCTCCCCGCCCCGACGGCCCGACGGCCGACCCGCCCCCCGCCCGTCGAATTCATCGGGACGCGGGGGCTCTCTCGGTTACGGACGGCCTACGGGAGGACCGGCCCCAGCTTCGGCTGAGAGGGCTGAGGACTTGAGGTAGACGGCCCGACAAGCTGCCGAGAAGGGCGAAGGAGGTGAGGTCCTCACCCCGGCGGCCCGCGCACGCCGTCTGAGCCTAGCGCAGCGCGAACTCGCTCTGAGCCTAGCGCAGCGCGAGAGATTTGCGCAGCAACCCGGCCGGGCAACCCTTTGCAAAAAGTTATCTTTCTTTCTTCAGCAATTGGAAAAAAGAATTTCGGGCGGCCTACCCCGCGCCCACACCCCGTCCTAAAAAAAGGAAGAAAACAGACAACCCAAGGGAGGGATGGGAGGACGGTACGCCGCCACCACACAGGGATTTTAGGGGAGAAGAGTGGTGCTAGCCGTCGCCCACCCTCGGGCGTCTACCACTTCCTATCTCTCTCCGCAGTTTCTCACCAATTCTCGCAGCGACCTTCATGCCACCTCGCGTTCTTCCCACTCTCGTCGTTCTCTCTCCTGTTGTCTCTTCCCCTGACTCATCGCTCTCCTCGGCCTCGAAAGAAAGAAAGAAAACAGACAACCCAAGGGAGGGATGGGAGGACGTATCCTCGGCCTCGTTCTCCCATCCCGATCGACTGGCATGCCCCGCTCAAGCGCGACCCGAAGTGTGGGAAGCGCCGCGGAGAGCCAAAGGCCGAGCTTCCGCTGGAGCTCGTCCTGGAGGGTGTCGGAGGAGGGGGCGGCGGCGTACGTACCGTCGACACGGACATCGAAGGCCTTGCCGGCGAAAGGCGTTGAGGCGGAGATGAGGCGCGCGGCTTCGCGGTTGTTGACGGCGCTGTCTCCGAGGGACGGGTTGTTCTTGACGTGCGCGTCCCGCGCCTTGACGAGCTCCTGGTGCGCGTACCAGTCCTTGTGATTCTTGATGGCAGCGAGCGGCCGCGGCCGCGGGTACGTGGATTTGCAAGTGCCATTGAGAATCGCGTCGGTAGCTGGAAGGGACTCGGGCTCGGGGAGCGGGACGCTCTTGGGGTAGAACTCAGTCAGGCAGCCGCCGCGGACGGTGTAGTACTTGTTTTTGTCGCGGGCGGTGCGCTTCTCGCACACCTCCTTCCAGTCCGAGAGGACGGACTCGTAGGTGGCGATAGCTGCGGCGATGGCGGGGTACTTGGACGCACCTCCCTCGTCGAGGGCGAAGTCGGGGTTGTGGGCGACAAGGGTGCGCCAGTTCTTGAGGAGCGACATGGAGAAGTCGCTGTCGGCTCGCGTGAAGGCGGTGTCGATGTTGCACCCGCGCCCATCTCGGTCGGCAGCTGCGCCTGGAGCCACGCGAGGTCGCGGAGCGCCTGGGGCGAGGCGTCGGCGCGAGCAATGCTCTCAAAGGACTTGCGGATGCGGTTGTGCGCAAACTCGAGAGCCTCGCACGCGACATTGCTCATTGGGCGGCGTGATGCAGCAACAATACACGTCATTTGTTCACGCGCGCGCGAGACGTGCAGAGCAAGGGTTGCTGTGTGTCGCTCTTCTTCTCTTGTCGCTCGCGCGTGTCGTCGTCTTCTGTCTCGCGTCCACCCATACCGATGGGGTCGAGTCCGAGCCCTACATCGTACCTTACCCCGCAAAGAGCTCCGAACCCTCGACTAGACGCCCTTACCTCGACTGCCATCGCGGCAAAACCATGCTAAAAATCTCTCTCTCAAAACCATGTCGGCCGCCGAGGCGCTTCTGAAGACACATTCCGCCAGGCAATGTTGGCCTCGGTGAGGTTGCAATTCCATGGGACGGTGTTGTCTTCCATGGGACGGTCCGCGTCTCGATGCTACGGAGAGTCGTGATTTCTTCTTGGTTTTCTAAAATACCTCTCTCACACGCACCGCACGACACCACACGCCACCGCGGCGCGCGCCGTCCTCCCTCCTCCCTTGGGTTGTTTCTTTTCTTTCTTTCTTTCTTCAGCAATTGGAAAAAAGAAATTCGCGCGCGCATGCACAGTGTGTTTCCCTCCCTCGCACAACACTGGGCACGGGACTTGAGAAACAAGGGGAACACGCAGCGCGTGCGTCCTTTCGCGCCGCACGTCTCCACACAACGCTGCCTCAAGGTCCGACCCTAGTGCGGGCGGACCCTCACAGCTCACAGCTCACATCATGGCCACTGTGCACGCCCCGCCGAGGTTCTGTATCGCCGGGATCCGGCACCCGACCGGCCAAGTCTGCTGCAATACTTCGTGCAGACTGTGCGGTGGCCACGGATGCTCCTCTGCACCTGGCGGTCCTCGACAGTGCTGCATGCCCGCGATCCTGCGTCAGCGGCGGGTGTGCCAGTCCGGTACAGACGTGGCCTGTGCCATTCCCGGGTCGGTGCAGACCTCGATGTCCACGTGTGCCGTGTGCTTCTCCGGCTTCTTCTCACCAGCCTCCTTACCGGACCGGGGCGCGAGCATCTCCACTCATTTGCTGAGGCCTCTTGGAGCCGAGGCACACCTTGCACTCACCACCCAAGCAGGTAGCACAGTCACCTCGGCTGTGCGTGCTGACATACTCGATGGGCTGTCGCAGCTGCAACCGATCGCATCGATATAGGTGACTCCCGAGCCATCGATAGGCTGGTTTGTCCGCAAGCTGGAGGGCACCCCACACTGGGTGCAGATTGTGGAGCTGTTCAACCAAACGAGCCGCGGGCAGCCGGGCTCAGGATGCACGCGGGACGAGCGCATGGAGATCACCAACCAGTCTTCGAAAAGCCCTTACTCGTGTCACGTTCGGCGCATTGTATTAACCCGAAATGTGGAGAACGTCTACCTTGGGCCACTCATAGGAAAGTCGACGGAGCACAACCTACCCAAATTGCTGGCGCTACACAGCTGCATCGAGCAACTCGTCCGCCACGAAGAGCACGTGCGCCGAGGCATACGCTACGAGCAAGTGGTGCATTCGCGGCTCGACCGTGTGTGGATTGCCTCCCACCCTCCGGTGGCCGTTCTCGATCCCAAATACGTGTGGATCCCAGGGGGTCAAGACTACCAAAGAGGCGTGTGCGACCGGCACGCGTTCATGAACAGGTCGTCGGCCCATGTCTACTTTCGGCGATGGGACTTCCTCCTTGACGGGCGAGTCATGCGCATTGACAGCCAGTTTGCATCAGGGCGGCTGAATTCAATGCTACAGATGAACGATGAGAACTACCTTGCTGACAGTCTCGCATTCTACCGCCTTCCGATCCGTCGCTTCCCGAGCGCCTCCTTCTTGGGTTGCTGCCCGCCTTCGCTCCATTCGTGCTTCCGTAGCCGATGCCTTCAACTGCAAGGGCTGCGATTGCCGAGGAAGGCACAGGGACTGTGCGCGGCGAGCGCCGTTAACGAGACATTCAGCCCTCCTGTGGGTGGTTCCCGTCTGCTGCGAGTCGGTGCCAAACTCGGAATAGGACGCAACCACTTGTTGGCCGCTCCAGATGAATGCGAAAGGCACGTTGGCACAAATGATCCGGCTGCGCTGGTGGCGGCGGCGCTAGCGAACAACTACTCAATCGCCGGCAAGTACCACATGGAGATGCACTGGGGCGTGCAGATAGCGTTCCTGCTCGAGTTTCCAAGTACAAAATGGGTAACCGTTGCTGTGGCAGAGCCCAAGCACTGGCCACGAGTAGGTCTCGGAGGGGTCGGCTTGCGAATCGATGCGCGGACGCACGCCACGCTCATGAAGGTTGTGGAACTCATCGTGCCATGGTCGCCTCCACTCTTTTGCACAAATGCCACGACGAGTGAGACGGTAGCAGAAGAAGAATACTTCACATGTGGCACGGTAGACCGTTAAAGCATACACTTGTATGTTTGTACTTGTGCACTCTCTCCACCCGGCCATTCCAACGGCCAGGCCGCTCGCTTAAGGCTGATTGGCTAGACGAGCGGCCTACCTCCAACGGGGCGGTCTGGATCACGGGGGATGACATCCTGCCTCCCGGCACGCCGGGAGGAGGTGGGTGCTCCGCCGCCGGACCGCCCTCTCCACCACCCTCGCCCAGGGATCTACAATGCTGTCTCAAGGTCCGACCTGTGGGCTCCGGCCTGCGCTCGGCACCGGGCACCGCCTCGGTATACAAAATGCGCCTGCGGGCGGACCCTCACAGATCACAGATCACTTGTGCCTGGGGGCTGGGGCCTCTGCCCCCGCGGGGTCCGCGGGGCAGCGCCCTGGCGGGGTCTGTGGCACAGCGCCCCGCGTTTTGAGACAAAGGATTGTGTCGTGCCACATCCGTAAATTGAAGCCAAGAACGTCCGCCAAATCCGTGCTTTCGTGCTTTGGGAGCAACTGAGGGAAAGCCGCTGATCGAGCCCAGCGTGCCCGCGGCCGCCTCCCGCGCAGCACCGCCGCTGGGGACGACACGCTGCGGAATCGGATCGAGCCCATGCACCGGGCAAAGAAGGACGCTGCAGAAGCGGTTGGAGAGGCAGCCGGCGTCTGCCGTCACAACGAGTCCCAGCGCTGGTTGGACATGCGCGTCGGCTCGCCCGAGGACTGCTATCGCGACCCTCCCGTCGTGCCGCAGCCTCCGACGAGCTCTGCAACCGAGGAGGGTGCGCCTCCCCTCACTGCTGGCCTGGCTGCGCACCGCCCCACAAAGCACCCCCTCGAGCATCTCTACAAGTACAAGTAGACGGGCGACCTTCTCCAAGTCGTCAACCCGGCGGCTCCGACAAGACTTTAGCCTTGGCCACCCTCCTTGCGGAGCAGGAGGAGATCCGCTCTCGGTCGGCAACGTGGCAGCTAGTCGAGGGACTCGGTAGTTGTGACCCCCCTGAGTGAGGACAGGAGAGAGAGCTTTTGTGGTGCTGGTGTACGCAATAACGGGACAGGGTAGTCGTTCTCTCTAGCTCCCCTTCTAGCTCTTAGCATGAGCTGTGCCCTGTGTCCGACCCCTTTTGCGCAGCAACACCTTAAACTTTTAGGCCCTCCAAATTCGGGTCGGAGCGTAGCGGAGTGGGCCCCGAGTTTGAAAAGGGCGACGGACGCTTGCGTCCTAGCCTCCAACAACGCCTCCCCGGCGCAGAGGGGCCCCCGGAGGGATGCTCAATCGCTCCAAGGAAAGAAAGAAAGAAAACAGACACGCCAAACGAGGGATGGGACGAGGACAGGGTCCCCACCTGCACGAGCAGGATTTTGGAAGGACGATCAGGGGGACAGGTGGGGCTCTCCTGCTCCTGACAAGGGACACGACAGGCTCGCAGCGCGGTGCGCGGTGGACTCCCACATCCACTGGCGGTCTCATCTCAGTCTAGCGACCTGCCTCCAGCTTGTCGCTGGCAGTCTCTCCTACCACAGGCACACTGACACAGGGGTGGCAGGGGCGGCGGCACGAGTCTCAATCGCTCCACGCCGCGGTCCTATTGGTGCGCGTTTATCTCTTTTTGCATGTCGGCCGCTGCTCAGAGCAAGAAGCGCCTCGCGCCCGACTCGCCGGGGGGCGAGCGGAAGCGCGCGAGCCTGGGCAAGGGCGGCTCCGACGTGCCGCACCTTGAGCGGAGAGCCTCTTCGGCCGCGCTCGCCGCCGCCGTCCGAGGCGCGTCCTTCGGCAGCTCTTCGGACGGCGCGAGCGCGTCGGCGCTGGCTCCGCGGTGCGCGGGCGCGCGGCTCGCGGCGGTGCGCGGCGAGTTCGAGATGTCGGTCGCCTCCTTTGCTGAGCAGCTCCGCGCCGCCTCTGGCGAGAAGGACAAGGGCGGCGAGCGGGGCGGCGCGGGCGAGGGCGTCACGTCCAAGGCGCTGGCCAAGTGGGAGGCGGGGCTCGCGCGCGTGCCCGCGAGGGTGCACGCGGTGTCGGAGAGGATGCACGCGCAGCTGCTCAAGCAGCTCGAGGAGGAGAGCGGCGGCGGGGACGTGGTGCAGCTGGTGCAAGTCTACCCGCGCCAGGAGAGCACCGGCCGGGGCAAGAGGTGCGGGCGCCGGCGCCAGGACACGCCCACGACCCGTCCCTGGACACGCCCCCCATAGGAGAGCATGGTCGGGGCAGAGTTCCAGGCGCCCGTGCCAAAGTACGGAGCGGCGCCAAAGGCGTGCAAGAGGGACGAGCTCAGGCCGCGAGATGGCCCGAGGTGACGAGAGATGGTCAGTGAGTGGTAGGCGTGCGCGCGCAAGGACGAGCTCGTCTGGTCTCCGCGCGCCGCCGCGAGAGAAGGGGTCGACATCCCGGACTTCCTCGCCTCGGTGACGCCGCTGCCCGGGGGGAGGGGAGGGGGGGGGGGGGGGGCAACCCCCCTGCTCGATTTGAAGGGAGGGGAGGGGGGGGGAGGGGGGGGGGGGGGGCTTCTCCATTTTAAGGGGGGGGGTGAAAAATTTGGACCAGCCGGGCCTCCCCTTGTGGCCCCAATTCCCGGGGCCCCGGCGGCCTTTTTTTGGGGCCCGGGGGCGGGGGCCCCTGGGGGGGCGGCCTTTTCCGGCGCCCCACCCCAAAACT